ATTTTCAGTGGCAGTTTTACCTGGCTGAGTGTAGATGTGGCTGGCAGAGTCCTGTAGGTAAATCTGTTTTCTCTGATCAGCATCATATGGGGGAGAGAAAGAGTGGCTCACAGCTGGGATGTCATCTCCAAAGTCCCATCTGCAGAGTTGGAGAGAGCATGACTAATGCTGCCACAGGATTTCTTGCCATTGCAACATTAACATAAAATAGGTTAATTTTTTTCATATTTAATTATTCTAATCAATATTTATGTATAAGGGCAGCAAGTTGGCACAGTGGTTAGCATGTTGCCTTGTTGACATTATTTCTACCTCCTATTCACATCTGCTTAGAGTTGTCAAGTTACTTATCTGACATCAAAGAAGGTAAATAGTAAACCTGAATGTGACGCCAATGGACACGTCAACTTTCACCCTGAAGACAAACACTTGAGAGGTGTTGACAGCCATGACCTCCGCAACAGAGAGGAACACAGGATCTTCTAGGGGCTTCATAAGATCAGCTGTGAGCTTCACATCCAGGGACTCTGAGCTCACTGGATTCTCTGCTGTTACCTGACATCAGAGAGGAAATCACAGGTGTGCACAGGTAGCAACACAGTACCATTTGAGACAGAATGCTTAGCAAGTTTATGACAGTGAAGTTCCGTTTCACACAGGAAAACAGAAATGGATGAAATCCCTGAATCAAATAGCTAATGACTACCAAATAGCCTCTCCTCATTTATAACATTATTTATTTGAATACAAATAAATAAGGACAGAAATAATAAACAGATGGAAGATTGAATTTTGCATTTATTTTGCAATCAGAATAATCATTATCCATGTAGATCTAGGTTCTCCAAAGTTTTTTCAAGACAGGTATACCCTTCATCTCCAACCTTAACTAAGATTATGGCCAGCATCATTTGGGATTCAGAAGCACTGCTAATCTCATTAGTATATAATCTCTTGTTTGTTTGATAGAATTTGTAGTCATATTGTAGGTACTTATCAGTATTTTCCCCTCTTAAATATAAATGCTCTACGATTCAGTCCTAATACCTTGTATTAACATGTCAATTTATTGAAAAATTCAAAATTGTTGTGTCATTCACTCACCTTTAGGTTATACACAGCAGGTTTTCGGAATACTACACTATATGTCTGCCCGTGATAAGCAAACAGAATCAAGTCATCTATGACCCAGGTGTAGGTGACTGAAGAACCACTTCTGACTGATGCTCTGAATTCCTAAATGAATGAAAAGAGTATTTTAAAATACATTTTCACATTATGAAGTGAAAAGTGTTACAGGGACTTCATGATTTTCAAAGCAGCCCATTCTTAGCAATTCCAACAAACAGATGCAGGGCCATAAAGATATCTACTTTTGTCTATTATTGCATAATATTAGCTCACTCTAATTAGTAATACATTCCATCTATAGTTTAAATTATGCTGTCATTTACCCCATGTTCTCCTGGAATTCAGAAATGATTTAATAACATTGACAGTATTTCACATTAAAGAAACTGAATCTCTGTTTAGTGGAATTAAAATGTGGGAGTCTACTTCTCAGTATATATATATATGTAAAGTATAGGTATATTTTATTTTTAATCTGAAGAGTTTAATTATTAACCTGTTAATAAAAACTGATCTACCGTATACCATACCTAGTACTTACTATCATGTATACTCCTTAGATCTACTGATTATATCTTCTAAATGTACCTTCACAAAATAAATCTACTACACGTCTACTTAACACAGAGATTACACAGAGCCACAGTTTACCATTCTGATGCACATTAATTTATAAATATATACACATTACATATCATATTATATATTATAATAACTAAATAAGTATAAAATATATTTTGTGTATCATAAAACTGTACAGATTTCAAGCAAAAAATGAAAGAGTTATTTAAATAGATCAAACCATCTATGCACAGCATGGTTAATATGTAATAAGCAGGAAGCAAGCTTAATAAGAACAATTATTTAATATACCTCCAATATGCAACACTCAATATTGCATGGCTAAGTAAACAATTTTATAAATCTGCGAGTTCCACAGTCTTGACTTCTACAGACACAGAAAGTACAGAACTCTCGCTGTAATTAAGGCATTAAAACTGCATGAGGAAAAAGGAAATAAAATAATCCTAATCCTTACTAAATCACTGTTTAAAATGAATGCTGAACAAATTTGATTATATTTCCCTATTAAATGAGTTGTTAAATTTTATAATAAATTCTTATACGGGTGTACTGTAGTGATCTTGATCTAAATGTGTTTTATATATGGGACTCACTTCATCCAATATTGATGTACAGTACTTACCTAGGTGACACAAAGCTAGCAGTCCTGCTACAAAACACATCAGAAAAGAGAAGGATTTCTTTTGATGTCTCCTGTACTAGTGCTGACTAGGCCCAGTTGAGATCTGATGAGATCAAACTAGAAGGTGGCAACTCTGCTGCCTTGTGTCCATCCACACATTTTCTAACCTTTTTATCCAACACAGAGTCGCAAGGAGCTGGAGCCTATCCTGGCGAGCAACAAGTGCAAGGCAGGATGGGATGCCAGTCCATTGCAGGCTATCATGAGTGCTTTAGTTTAAAAAAACTATATAAAACAAAAAGTTAACATAAAAGCTACCTTCAAAATATAATTTACATATTTATTATCAACCACTGTAAAGCTTCTATAATATAGATGTTAATCTGCATTTTTCGACATACCTGGGATACATCCACTAACATCCTCCGATCCCCCTGTGGTTTCATCCTGAGCCCTTGTACCTCCTGGTGAGACTGCAGTACCACAGAGAGGTTCTGTGCACTGACTCCATTGGAGACAGAGATATTGAGGATCTGGGACACTGGCAGGGCCACAGTGGCATAGGCATATGAGAACCAGGTGTCTGGGGTGGTTCTTGTACATCCTGGCACATAGGCAAGCAGAGCAGATGGACAAGAGGAGCTGAAGGCGATCCCACTGCGCAGAACAGGAGCTGACCAGGAGCTGGTAGCATTGACCCCAGACAAGATCTTGATCACAATAAGCGTGGGCTTGTTCACTGGAATGTGTATCATTCCTCCGACCGGAAGTGGGTGGATGATTTGGAGCCCCCATACCGGTGTGCGAACATCCACAGTGCAGCAGGCTGTAGTGCTGCTCACAGGGTTGCTCACTGCGATGCTGTATGTGTAGGAGCCCGGGTCCCTGTGGCCTGTGCCGAGCGGTGAAGTGACAGCATATCCCTGCAGGCTGTCAGAGTACAGCACTCTCAGGTCGCACACCACCTCGTCCACCCACACAGACTGACTGGGCTGGGCAGACACCCCCCCTTCCAACCAGCCTGTCCGGCGCAGGGAGAGGTAGCTCTGACGCCAGGGGGAATCATCGCTCCGTGGGCACTGCAGGAAAGACCCTGCGCCAGCATCGTGCTGCACTGCCAGGATGTCGTCTGGAAAGATGTTAATCTCCCGCTTGAGGAGGAGGACCTGGGAGAATACAGCACTGTGATAAATATCTACAGCATTCCTCAACATATTCTCCATACCGAATCAGGAGCTTTCGTTGTAGCATGCATGAAAATGTTCAGGGCATAACAGCCTTTTCTCACATTTTCAAAGAGTGAGGCAAACCATTTTCTAACAATGAAATTATGTTTTGAGTTTTTTTTTAATATTCCACTTTGGGCAATTCTGCAGTTGTTTCAGTTATGCTTACTTAACATCAGGTTTGTGATTAAATGTGAAATCACCTTAGTGTTCAGAGGCAATGAAGAGTAGCCTATGATAGAGAATCTCTACTTTAATACTACACCGTCCTTATTTTTCTTGTTACTTTCTCCACAAGATCAGTTCATACATATATTTACAAGACATACTGACCGGCGTCCAAAAGCACACATGTGAATCAAACACAGGAGCTTAAGCTGGGATCAAAAGCTTCCTTGGATCTCTCATACAAAGTGAATGTACAGCTGAGATGTAATCCCTCCAGCAAGTACTCGGTCTGCCCTGGGGTCTCTTCCCAATGGAAAATGTTTGGTACAACTCCATCAGGAGGTGCTTAAACCATTTCAACTGGCTCCATTTGATCCAGAGGAGCAGTGACTCTATTCCAACTTAATCCTGAATTGCTGAGCTCCTCACCCTGTCATGGACAGTAAGCCCCGCTGCCCTATGGAGAAACCTCACTCCCACCACTTGTACCCGCGAACTCATTCTTTCAGTCACTAGCCAAAGCTCATGATCGTAGGTGAGGATGGAGATGTACTGTAGATTAAAATGAAAACCAGGTGCTTCATCACAAAACTCAGCTTTCACTTCCCCACCACTATTCACTATAGCTTCCATACGTCTGCAGCCACAGCAGGTACATGTAAATCTCACTACTCAAAAAGACCCCAAGGTACTTACATTTCTCCCAGGAGGGGTTATTATAATTAATGCTTGCTTAAAATAAATGTACTCACCTGTACACTATATTTAAAGCTAACCTTTACGGAATGTTTCAGTTCTTTTGCTAATTTTTATTCATGACAATGAAAGTGACAGCAACAACTAAAGCAGAGCTGTCCCTAAAGGTAACAAAATATAGAGTTTCAACTCGAAAGGAAACTTTTCGATTTAGAGATACTATGGAATAAATCACATATAAAATAATATAGGTGGAGGATATTTCAGGTGAAGTATAAGTCTGTTTAAAGAAGGAAGCGAGTCTCTTAGGTAGCAGTGAGCTACCGTGTAGAACCGGGGAGGTGTCTGATCAGCACACTCACACACTCACATTGACGTGCACTTGCTCTGAGCTGTGGGGCAGGCTGAGGGGCAGGTCTGCTACGAGGTGGTAGAAGGGTGGGGTGGCAGTGTGGCGGGGAGGCCTCCCAAAGGACTGGCCCTGGGGTGTGTAGGAACTGCAGGGGCTGGACAGCGGCTGGCAGCTATCCTGTAGGTGGCACCACTGCTGCCCTCTGGCACAGCCTCCAGTGGTGTTGCAGAGGGGCTCTGTGGAGCAGCAAGCGAAGGGGTTGAGCAGGACACTGCAGCCTGAGGAGAAGGACAGCATACAGTCAGCATGCAACGCAATCTGTGACCATTCTTAACACAGCTTGCTGTTTCTTGCCTTGTATATAACAACATGTAACATAGCTCATATAAGGATTAATAATTAATTGAGTCCCCTTGGACAATGGAATCAGACAAATAAATTCATAAAAAATCTCAGCAAAAAAATGTCTGCAAATAAGAATTAAAGTAGTCTATCAGAACATAATTAAATCAAATTTTAAATACTTTTTTTAAAGAAATGTATATTGCACTTTGAAAACTTTTAAAATCCCTAAGGGTATTAAGCAAAAAAAAGGATGAATTAATGTTAATTATAATATACAGAAAAACTGCAACATCTTTGTGAAGAAGGAAAAATTAGAAATCTAATTGCGAGTGATAGCATTACATTAAAATGTAATGAAACTAAAGAAAAGAAACTGGATATTTCTTAAATTGCTCAAGAACCATGAAGTCAGTAATCAACAAGAAGAGGAGCTAGCACATACTGTAGTCATGCATATGTACAGTAATTCAATCAGTAGAAAGAGCCTGACTAGTCATGAGTTCCAGTTTGAAAGAAGAGGCGCTGTTTTTTACCTGGTGGGACGAGGTGCTGGCTGGGGCTGCAGTAAGGGCGAAGGACCTGGACTCTCGCTCGAGTCTGGTTTTTAATAGGCTGGATCACAAACTCTACTGACACCACCCGCCCAGCATGGCTGAACCACAGGCCTGGAAACAGCATCACCTAAAACAGAGGGAGTAACGAGGGCAAACAGAAAGAGCAACATGTAGAGGCAATTATACACTGAACCCTTATTCTCTGATATATTCCTTGATATGAACAGCAGATTCAATGTATCAGGTAAAATCCATAGCACTGCATGATCTGGTGAGTAAGGTATAGGATTCTGATCTGGCACTGACTTGCTTACAATACATTGCACAAAGTGCAATGAGTCCAAGAAGCTGCAGCAAGGCAGTGATGGGGTTGGAAGGGACACAATGTGATGAATCCCAGACAAGGTATGCTTAATATTCTTTGGGGGTGAAAACACATGACAGTTAACTGAGAGAAACTCATGAAAAACTATTGTTATTTCTGAAGAAAAATGAAATTGGAACCCTTTAAAACCGGGAAATCGTAATACCAGTTTTAAAACAACAACACATTTTAATAATATACAAACGAAAAATGGAAAAGTCATTATTGCATAAGGTGGCAGTCTGGTGGCACAATAATATTGCTGCTACACAGCTCTTGGGCCAGGCGTTCAATTCCTGCTTTCCATGCGTTCTCCCCATTTTCATGCGGGTCTCTCCAGATCTCCCACAGCCCAGATGCTGGTAGCTTAATTAGCCCTGTTGTGAGAGTGCGGTTTTGTGATTGTGCGTGCCCTGTAATGGTGTCCAAACCAAGGTGTATTTTGCCTTACACCTCCTGCTTGTCAGGATAGGCTTCAGCTCTCCCCACATCCCTGCATAAAGTGGTTAGAAAATGAATGGATGATAGAATAAGTATTCAAAATGTTTTCTTGTGGCAAATCTAAATTAGTTTAGTGTGGAGCGGTGGCACTGTGGCTAAGGATCTCGCCTGTGGCTGGAAGGTTGCTGGTTCAAATCCCATGCCCAGCAGGGGAATCCAACTCTGTTGGGCCCCTGAGCAAGCCCCTTAGCCCCACCTGCTCCAGGGGTGCTGTATAAATAGCTGACCCTGTGCTCTGACCCCAAGCTTCTCTCCCTGTGTGTGTGTCTCATGGAGAGCAAGCTGGGGTATGTGAAAAGGAAAATTCCTAATGCAAGAAACTGTATACAGTTAATAAAGTGATCTTTAGGTAAACAAAAGTGCCTTAACAAATCAAACAATTGAGTGGTTTCTACCTGGCTGCAGTAATTGTTCTCATTATTTCACAGTACATACTGTACACCTTCCTCTGTATAGCCCCTCAGTTTAAAAGTTGAAGGAGCTTATAAAACAGCTCAGAGATAAAGTTGTACAAGGACACATCATATTATGACACCATAACACATGTCAATAGACGTGTTTTTATTTAGGAAACTAAATGGGTTCATAATTAACATAACTTGGTAAAAAATAAACAACCTGAAAACGTCAAACGCAGAAGTCTAATTCTTCTTTCACATGGGGTTTGCAGAAGATTAATGTCTTGCTTTACTTCTCACCTGAAGTGCACTTATGTAAAACAAATGACAAAGGCCATTTGTTTGGTACCTGTTGGTACCTACTGTATGTCAACTTACCTCCACATTGCTCTGTCCCAGACCAGGGGGAGCAGGGAGCACAGACAGATTGTTCACTTTGTAAACACCTGTCATTACTGGGACTCCAGCCAGGAATGTGTCAGGACCAGGCAGGAGAGCTGTAGGGACAACATGCTGGGTCAAAATCAGTTATGCTTTGAACGCTGAGGAGAAGGAGATAGGGCCACAGAACTAGTTCTGAAGCCTTTTAACACTTTTACAGCTGGGTTTTTGTGCATGGTGATTTAGGATTTTCCAAGAACTGTTGGAATAAAATTTAGACTTCAAAAACTGCATTAAAATTTCTATTTTAATTTGATAGGATCAGAAAAACATTCTTCACAAGATTCAGGCTTTCATTAATAATTTAGATATAGATAAGTAACTTACTGATTCACAGATCTTGGGACATCAGTCTCAACAACAAGGCAGTGTACTTGGTTGCAGGTGCTCATGGTTTGTGTATAAAGTACAGTTTCCACATACATTCATAAACCAAAGACAATGACTCAGTATTACCTGATGTGTGTTTCTCACAGATAAATGGGATTTTTGTACCACAGTCAGTGCTTTTCCAAAGCCCCATTAAGCTCATCATCATCTGGACACAGCCTTTCTGGTTTTTATTAGCATTTCCCCAGTTATGGAACACATCTGCTGGAGCCCCATCAACCCAGACTGGCTTGACAGAGGTCCCATCTCTGAGCCCAATCCAGACATTGTCAGTCCTATCCAAACACACAAGCAGCACATTGTATAGCAGAAACACACCACAGGACATTTCTACAGATAGGGTACTCAACACGTAGAGAAAAATGGGCATTATTCAAAAGATTACACCCTCAGGGGATATACAGGACATGTTTAACATGACACAAGTCAAATAAAGCTTCTATTTTGAACACACATTTTATTCAAACATGCTTATGTAAGCTAATAGAGAAATTATGTATCAAAAGCTAAGCCATCCACAAGGACGCGGCACACAGTAAAGCTGTGTAAGCTGCCCTTATTTGAACAATTTTGTAAAATGATGGAAAATCACATTAAATAGTAATATACATGTACCTTTGATCTAAAATGAGAAAACAAGAAGTGATATCCTGGAAGCCAGTATAATCCTTTTTCTAACCACTATATCCATTACAGGGGAGCCAGAGACTGTCCTAGCAAGCAACAGGTATAAGGCAGTGTATATTCTGGACAGGATGCCAGTCCATCACAGGGCAAACAGACACAAACAAGCACACACCCACACTGGGGCCAGTTTTACTGAAGCCCTTTAACCTACCAGCCTGTCTGGACTGAGGAAGGAAACTAGAGCACCCAAAGGAAACCTACTGTACATGAACTTGGGGAGAACTTTCAAACTCTAGACAGATAGCACCCCAGGTCCAATACTGTGAGGCAGCAATGCTATCCACTGTGCCACAATGCTGCCCTGTATCCAGTACAAACCCTAACACAAACAAAAGATCCTGACAAAGAACCAATGATCAGGACCTGCACCAGACCACAACTTGTGAGTTTATCTTAGATGTGAACTCTTGTCAAGTGGTTCTCAGATGAGCCTCTAAACGTAGTTCTAGAAGACACTAAACATAAGCAACTCCTTAACAAATAAGAAAAACAGTGAATATAAATATAAGAGGAAGGTTACTACTAAGTGGAGGCCATTCCTCAGATCAAACTTGTTTGGATGTGAGCAGCTAATTGATCTCATCTACCCAGGCAACTGGCTCAACAACATGACTGAGTAGCTTGTTACAGATTCCCACATTCCTCCTGTTTTCAGTTTTAAATGCAGTATTAATGGTTTTACAGAAAACCAAATGGCTTTATGACAATATCATTTTTTCACACATCTTCAATTTATGGCTACAACTGTGGTCCAACTCCTTCGCCTGTACCTTTGTGAGAGTGAGCAGCCTCAGACTGGTGAAAGCAGTGATGGAGAGCTGGATACTCACAAGGGGAAGGTTTGCTGAAGGAAGCTCTGGATGTCAGCACTGCTAACGACAGCCAGGTCTCCCCCTGTCGTCTGCTGGCAGGTCCGTCTTGCATCCTGCCAGGACTCCTGTGTCTGGACAAGCCAGTAGCAGTGCATATTGGTCAAGTGGATCCGACTGCCTCTAGGGCAGATGGAATGAACTGAGAAAGAAAAACATACAGTAATTGATGATTAATATTCACTATCAATTAATAGTGCCAGTAATAGTTTTCACCTTGACAATATTTCCCCCAATCACGCATAAGAGACATAAATAATGTAATAATAATACATTTTCCCCATGACCCTCTATTGGATAAAGTGGTTAGAAAATGGAATGATGGAGTAATGTATTGTTGGAGACTAATTTTCTTATTTACACAAGCATATTTCCCTGATTCATAAAAGCATGACACTACAAATTTACTGTTCCGTAAGTATAGTTATGAGTTAGTTAGTACTTAGAAACAAGTACAAACTTATTCAAAAAGTTATATGAAATGTATTTATCATCTGTTGTATTGATTTGATCATGCATACATTTTTTTCTTGTAGCAACCTATAAAACTAAGTATATTTTATTTTAAGGATCATAAGCACTGTTAGAGTGACAATCATGAGCAAACACCTTGAGGATGGTTTAAACTAGACAAAAGTGCTAAATTTAAACTAGACAAAAGTACTAAGTATTATATGCAAGAAGGAAAAAAACTATAAATACAAAATGGGGAACCCTGAACTAGAAGAGGCTACTTTGAAAACAAATAAAATATATTGCTGTTCTGGAATTACTGTGAAGAAGAGCAGTTAGATTCTTTATGCAACTAAAGTCAATGTCTTAAACTGTCAGGCTAAAAGAACAGGACCTTTTTAGTCTTAAACAGAAAAGACTACAAGGGAACCTCATACAAGTATTCAAAATCCTCTAAGGCACTGACAACCTCATCCCAATGAACTTCTTCAGAATCAACAGAGAAACACGAACCAGCACACACTGGTGAAAACTAGATGTAAGTGACTTTAAAAACTGAGATCATGAGGACCTTATTGAAACAAAGGGTCATGGAAGTCTGGAACAAGACTACCCAACTATGCTGTTGAAATAGATACCCTGTCTACTTTCAAGAACTCGCTATATTAAGTCATTGGATTCTTTAGTTAGTAACAAATGGACAGATGGGCTAAATGCTTTCCTCTCATTTGTAACCTATCTTATGTTCAAATTATGTTCTTTTAATTTCTGTAGATGATCTAATAGCCAGGATTTTAAGGAAGATCACGTAAATTAAAAAGGTGAAAAAACTGTTTTGGTATTGAAAGAGGTTGCCCGGCAACCGTTAAGACCAAGCACATAAATTTGTTCTAACAAAGTCAGTGTCTTATCACTATGGTAAATGGAAACACTTTTCAATGGCCACTGTAAAATAATTGCAAAAAAATAGGTGCTATAAAACCCATCAGAGACATCAGCCATGGTAAGTCAATAGTGCAAAAACAGTTATTCATGATCAAATGCATTTCAACGGTAATGCTTGCTGATAATAGCTAACATACAGTCAGCATGTTTCTGTTTCACATGTACACCATTTGTAGATACTGGATTTTAACCCCAATTTAGCTAAACTTCACTGTAGTAGAATATAAATTGTACCCAGTGACTTCTTCTGAAAGTTATCTTCAGATAATTTGTGTTTTAACAATATACAAAGATTTGTTTGTAAACGTGTAACCAGTGCTCCACAAATTTGTAATGTGATTTTCGAGTCCTTGTACTCCCGAACTCTGTATCCTTCATTTAAATCATTACATTCTTCTGTTAATGACTGCTTTATATACAGTAAACAAGTCAGGTTAATTTGGGAGACAGAAGCAGAAGTAATTCTCAACCGGTATACTGCATTACTGTTGTCTCATTGAGAAAACTGCTTCAGGTTTTGTCCAGCAAACAGCGCTGCTTTGGAAAGAAGCTTGAGCAGTGAGTGCCGAGTCAGACTGAAAGGCATGGGGAGACGGCCGAGAAGAGGTGGATCTGTACTTGGAGCAGAAAAACTCCCGTCTGAGGAAGGGAGGGAAAGCTGTACAGGACTTACAGTAGGTCACATTTAACAGACAACAGACTATGGTCTGGTCTGGTACATTCTGACTTTGAAAGCAAAACAAACCATTTATCAACATAATCTCAAGTTTCCTAGATAACTGTATGCAAAGGAGCATGCACAATAAAAACAGAAAAATAAGAAAAGCATGAAACATCCTATGACGCAATTGAATTTAAGCATATCTTAAGACAGATTGCCAAAAAATGGATTCTGAGGTGGACAAGATTATATGAATGTTTGAGACTGACGGTAGGTTAGATTTCTTTATATACAGATAGACTTAATGGACACACTTCCCAGCTCATTGTCTAAGGGTTTGTCTGGAAAAACTCCTAATCAGGCTAATTGAGAAAACTGGGTCAAACGGCTTCCATACACATAGACAATTCAAACGATGCCCTAAGCTTCAAATCCACTAGATCAATAGTTAAAGCTGTCCATTAAAATCACTGACTTTTTCAGCTTTATTCAAATATATTGGAAAGTTAGTGTATGTTGCAATGAAGAAAGTTTAATTATCAAAACACGGATGGAAAGTTTTTCTAGTCCTAATATTATAAAAACTGATGTTGTAGTTACCTCCACCACCACTGGTATCCACCTCCATAATCAGAATCCAGAAAAAGCCAAGATAACTTGTCATGGTCATTTTTTCAAGACAATACAGTGGTTGTTACACCCCTCCCCCAAAAAGAAATCACAGAAAAAGTAAATTTAACAAAAAGTCTAGCACATAACTGTTCAAATTTTACATTGCACATTTCATTCCTTGTGTATAAGCCACCACTGAATCTTGGTTGCCAGTTTAAGGATTTGAGGGTCCAATCTGTGAATTGTTCTAAGACATTCTTCAAGCTCATGACCCATCAGACATCCTGAAAAACAAACCGAATACATATTCCTCTCCAGTTCCATTTTGTCCTGTATGATCCATGAGGCCACGTTAGTTTTCTTTGACTGTAGATTTTAACCCACTGGCTTTTGTCAGGTAAATCTGTTGTTCAAGTTAATTCATACATGGTTTTATGAAATACAGTTCTAAAAGTTTTGTTTCTTTCTGAGTGTGTCTTAAGGTTGGGTAGCGATATAATTTCTAATTGACTTTTCGATGAATATAAGTGGTAAGCAGTCCTTCAGCATCTCTTCATTGCTGCAAATACAGCTTCTCCTGAAATTAACCTTCCTTTTGTCTCTTCTTGTCTTACTTTCTTCATCCTTCCCCTTATTCTTCTGTGAAGCATCGGTCGCTGTTCTTTTCCCTGTTCTGCTCTGTCCTTTTTCTCAGCTCCCAGCCTCTATTCTCTCTCTATTTTGCTTCCCTCTCTCCTTCTGTGACCCATCAGCTCCAGGGAGTCTAGCCTTTGGAACCCATTTCTCCCTAAGACCCTGGGGATTTTTTCGGTTTGTTTCACAGTAGCAGTGGCAGTCTTCTTTTGTTCTTCCATTTCCTTGCTGTAAATCCCTCACTGAAAAGGCAGTTAAAGGCTTGTCCAGGTTCATGTTTTAAACCACCACCACTTTTTTTTCAGAAGAAAAAAAACAAAAACCTTTGTGTGCCAGCGTCAAAGAGCACAGCTTTTCTTGTGCAAATTTTATAACTTAGGCAACCCAGTTCAATAGGAAGGGTATGTGTACAGGGCCTTTTGGATGAATAAAAGGTTCTGCAAAGATTTGGAATGCCAAAGGTTCACAGCAATTCATCCAATAATTCATGGGCATTTTGTCATTTTTATATCCAACTTAGGAACTAAATCCAACTCCCCAGTCTTTGTGCAATCCAATATTAAAATACTATATTCAAATTGATATGGTATGATGCTATAAGAGTCATTTGATTCATGGTAACTTCCCGTCAGAGGAATATGTTAAAGTCACCAGTTATTTCCCTCAGCTGAAGTCAAATAAAAGATTGTTGGATAGGGCTGGCCTTCACTGAATCAGTTTCGCAATATGTCAAATTGACTCCTTTGTTAACAACTCGTTTGGTTATTAAGTTAACAGACAAATCTTAATAGCATGTTGTAAAAAGACCAGATTAAGAAAGAAAATGCATAAAAAGGTTTTATGCACACCAAATATTTTATTAAGTATGAATGGCAAAATTAGTATACTATGCTCTGAGCTTGTCTTTACCTTAATAGATGACACAGTCAAACTCAAAGTGCAGAGTGCAGAGTTAAAATATAAAAATAATTCCAATAATCATCTTTCAAGTTCTGTAGAGATGTAAATAGCATGCACCAACCCTCAAAAATGGAGCAAAGTAAAATAGAGCTACAATACTAGTTCCAGAAATGACATAGTTCTTGTTTAAAGCTTCACTGGCTGGAAAGCACCTGACCTAAGGCAGATAGTTACTTGAACACAACTAATCAATAACTTCCCATGATCACCCCACCCAGTCCTGGTGGAGTGCAGCTAGCAGTACATTGCTTCTTTAAAGCCCCCAGTTACAGTGGATGTCAGACACAGCTCAGACACTGCCCTGTCTTTCATGCTTTGATAAAATGTACCACCCAGAAACCAGACTTTGTAAAACAAATACAGCTCCTAATTTTGTAGGTCTAGGTCAAATGTAGTATCTATTCATTTTTTAATTGCAAATAAATGGTCTTGGGATCTTACCAGTAGTTTCCTTGCCTCTTGTGTCTTTCACACTCCACATGGCAGACAGATCAGTGCCCTTGTCAATGTGGACCAAGAAATTCAAGGTGTTCAATGTTTCCGCCTGGAGTGGGTACTCCAGCTGTACCTGCCCCAGGGGCATCACCACTTTGACAAAGACACTGAGGGAGAGTTGATAGCCCCCCATCATGGCATGGACATCAACTTTGTAAGTGCCAGGGAGGGCATATTTATAGAGCACTCGCGTATTTGTTGTGTTGTAAGGTCGTGAGCCATCTCCAAATTCCCATTGGAAGACAGGAAGGGCAGCACTGACACTCAGCTCCACTGGTTGGTACAAACTATGCCAGGGTGCAGTCACTATCTCCAGGCTCACCTGCAGAAACACAGAAACTTCCTAGATATAGAGAATGAGCATAAAGATATTTTAAATAACGTATTCTACTGTGCTTGTGTTATTGCTTTGGGAGACTACACAAGAGGATTTAAATACAGGAATTAGAATCAAGACAACCTGTTGACAAATTAAGACATTTGCATAAAACATGCAAAGAACAGTAACAGCATCAAGTTTTACACTGAGACCATCTACCCTGATCTACCCTGAGGGTTGGGCCTGGTCGGTACTGGGATAAAAGACCTCTAATGAAAACCAGGTTACTGCTGTAAATGGTGTTTGTGGACCAGTAAGTGTCGCTCTTCACCAGAATTTCCAAACTTATATGTGTGTATGGTGACCAGTGTTGCCTTTGGTAGGAGGTGCCATCCTTCAGATGAGCCTGTAAACTGAGATTCTTTACTCACTTAAATCAGTAAATGTATGCAATCTGGCCTAGTTTATGTCCCCCTAATTCAAATGTCAATGCACATAATGCCTCAGAAGTATGTGCTTAGAAATAGAGAGGGTGCAACCTGGAATCCTGAGATTCTCCATAGTACAAAGTTACAGGCTTTCTGCTTAAACAATTGATGCAACACATAGTGATGTTTATTTACACTGACATCATTTCAACAGGCCGCTAAAGTGACAGACATTTTAGATGTGTTGAATCTTCTAAAAAAATGTCCAGAAGTAAAACGAACAAAAAGTCATCTTGAAAAACCTGGCTATAGCCATTCCAACTCACCAGGACAGGGAAGGCTGTGTGGATGATGGTGCGGCCGCAGACCACGGTCTGCACGATGTTGGAGCACACACCACTGCAGGCCTGGGCCTGCACAGACGCCGGAGGAGCCAGGGTGCCGCACAGGCAGTGACGGGCAGGGTCTAGAGCATAGTGCGAGTAGCCACGGTGACGGCACAGGGCCTCACAGGATTTCTTATCGCGCACCTGGGGCTCGCAGCGTAAGTAGAGAAGAACAGCATCTGACAGGGAGTGGGGGTTCGGCACACAGGAGACAAAGCTGTCAGCTGGAAGGGATAAGAGACACATTGCACCACAATAAAAAAAAGACCAAGGCTTTTTTTTTATTTAGTTACAGTATATGGTTAAGGTGGTTGTTTATGAACATTATCATGTCTCTCATTACATTAACGTCTCCCATAATTTGTCTTGTAAATAGTAAGATTGTGCTGTTTTTTTTTTTTTAACTCAGGCATGAATTAGCAGCAGTTTTCTTCAGTTTTTCATTCTACTCAGGTCCAAACTACATAATGGGCCCAGCTGGATGCATTTAAGAAATTTCCTGGGATCCGTAGGTGTTGTAGATAATGAGGAGACCTACTGTAAAAGCTCTCCAGCACTGTGGTCTGCCTGGACTAGAGTTGTGCACTTTGTCATTCAGGTGAGATGAAATAATTACTGGAGGAAGTATGGCTTTCCCACACCACTAGGAAATGTGATCTTTAACCACTCTTCATTGAATGATGGACCTGTTTGCTAATCCAGACCACATTCTTTACTAATTTTGGCTCATCGGAAGCCTGCACAGTTCCATTCCTGCACCTCAGCACAGTGGATAGCAGGACACAACATGGTGAATACTGCCAACAGAGAAACACTGACCACAGGGGGAAACTGCAGAGTCCAGCATATTGACTAGCACGTCAAACGCACTGGAGGGCTGGCTGCACCTGACATCTTCACTGTCCAGCACAGTCAGGGAGCCCTGAGCTAGCCAATCTTTGAGCCAGGCCAAAGAGCAGTCATACTTGTAGCTGTTGAATCCAAACTTTCTGCATAATGATAACACATAAAGATTGATTATGTATTGACACTAGAAAAATAAATTACACTAGTGTGTTTAAACAGCTGTGTGTTTTAGTCTTTGTTTGTCTGGACCCCCCTATTTTAAAGATTCCTTTTCTGACAGCCAGGGGTATACTATACTAGTACAGCCATACTATACACACTATGTAAAAAGGTTAAAAGGACATTAATTTTTAAACAAATATTTCTCCACTCTGTGGGCACTTCACGCAATAATTCAAAATCTAAGAACAAAACCCAAAGACATGAGAACACTATGAGATAGTGAATTTTAGGCTGAAAACAGGCGATGCACATTTACTGTATGCTATGCATTGTAGAGGTTGCTGAAGCAGAAGCACAAGGAGTCTGGATTCAATAATAAATTAAAAGCAATGCATTATTGGCAATAACTACATGTCAGTTTTACTGAAGGGTTTGCAGGGCAGTAGCTTATAATTTGTTGATTTTTAAAAAACTTGCTTATCATTAATTGCACAAAATAATCAAATCACTGTACTATAAACCTGCACTTCTGCTTAAGTTCACTTAACATAAATTCACTGGTGGAGTTTAAATCTGTTACTAAATGACCTTTTGTAGCAACAAAAATTGGAGAATCTCCTTACCTTTGTAGCCTACAGAAATCGGCTACTTACATTTTTTTGAGGTCCTTAAAGTCAGCAAAAGCGTCTGGTCTCAGATGTGTTATTCTATTCCTAGACAGATCTCTACAATAAAACATAGAAGGCACAAAATACAGATCAATAACAGCAGTTAAGTAATAATTTATACCTTGTCAATTAAAATTACAGGTAAACCTGTTGATCTGTGTCTATTCAGGAAAAGTGTTAACAATCCTTGATATCTTGATTTTATGCTGACCACCTTTTTTTCTTGTTTATTTTAGGGTAAGGAAATACCTCAAGCATTAGGTAAAATGTGAGGCTTGTAAGAAATGTCAGATGAGCTCTTTTTATTTTCCAGACAGAGCTCTGATGATAGTTATAAATCAGAATCAAACTTGGATGAGACAAACATTTTTTTTAACAAAACACAACTACACAACGGAACAAGTAATAGGTTTATTCCGTGCTGAAAAAACGAAGAAAGAGAACACAACGTTTCGGCCGTGGAGCCACCTGAACTACAACTATACAACACAGATTATACAATAACACATATGTGCAAGCCTATGCATTTTAGATGCCTATATTCTTAAAACCAATACAGAATTACCTGTAATCTGTAACACTATGAAACACCTAAAGAGGCCAAAAGGAAAAATAATAATAAACTTTAATTTTACATAGCACCTTTAAAGGTGGCTTCTCAAATTGCTTTACAGAACAACAACATATAAAATACACAGCACAAAATACATAATACAGTGTATACAAAATGAAAATACACAATGAGAGGAGATAGTAGATTGGGTTATGATTGGAGCTAAGGGGAATATAACAGAACCAGTTAAGTAAAAGGCCTTTAAAAACTAGAAGGTTTTGAGTCTAGACTTAAAGAGGTGAATCTCTGATATCTTTAGGGATAGAGTACCAGAGCTTTGGGGCATAACAGAAGAAAGCTCTGTCACCCATAGGGTGTAGACAGGCTTGGGGTACAGTAGGAGACCAGAATTAGAAGAAAAAAAGTTGCAAGGTGGGAAGTAGGACAATAGTAGGTCAGACAGGTACTGAGGTGCCAAGCCATGCAGAGCCTTACTGGTGTACTGTAGGTGAGCATGAGGATTTTGAAGTCGACACGAAACCTGAAAGGAAGCCAGTGCAAGGATTCCAGGATAAGACTAATGTGATAACTTGCCTTGAACCTGCTCAGGATTCTGTCTGCCAAATTCTGGACATACTAAAGTTTGTTCAATGTGGATTTAGAAACCTCAGCAAGTAGTGTGTACTAGTGGACTAGTTTTTCAGCAGCAGTTAGTGACAAAATAGGACGTAGCCTGTTAATATTTCTGAGGTAAAATAATTATGTTTTGATGATATATGTGGATCAAACATGAAGCCTGAATCAAATATCACCCAAAGTTTTTCCATTTTGACTGAAGCTAAAATACAGTACATTACCATCCAGAGATAGTGTTACTGCATTGGCTTTACAAAGTTGAACTGGGGTGCTGATAAGCATGACTTCAGTTTTGTCAGTGTTAGATTTCGTATGGATGAAGATTTGAGTATCATCGGCATAGAAATGATTCTTTAGGCCAAGCAACCTTAAAAGTTGAACAAGTGGGAACATGTAAATGCTAAAAAGTGAGGGGCCCAGTATCGAGCCTTGAGGAACACCAGACTTAACAAGTCCAGTTTCAGAGCTTAATCTGCCAAGAGAGACAAAGTGACAATGATCAGTGAGGTAAGACTTGAACCATTTAAGAGCAGTGTCAGAAATACTAAACACAGTCTCAAGAGGATAAAGTAAGACATCATGGTTAACAGTCTTTAAAGCATCTCTGATCAACCATACTGGAGGGGTTTGCAGAGGTTCTACAGTATTCAGGAGGTGATTTCACTGAATTGTAACAGCACGTTCTAAATTGTTTTACAAGGAAAAGTAAGTTGGAAATGGAGAAAATGGAAAATTGTTTAGATTATCTAGAGCCATTTTTTGGCAAAGGGGTAATAGCAGCAGTTCTGAAGGTCACTGGCACTACACCAGTGCTGAAGGATTGATTTATTATATTGAGGACAATGGGGCAGAGAGTAATTAATTAATTACAGTTATATATCACTTTTCTGTACACTCCACTCAAAGCACTTTACAGTGTGAAGTAAAGTTGTGATGTGAAATAAAGTAAAAGTAAAGTAAATGTTGAATTGATTAAGCATGTTAATCCTGAAAATCAAAAAACAAAACTTTATGATATACTGAAGTCTCTGAAGAGACTGTTAAACCATAAAAGAATAAAAAGAATAAAAGAATAAAAAGATTCTACCATAAAAAGAATCCCCACTAGACAACAGTTTAGGTGCAGATGTGAGAAACTACTTCACTAGCTAAATTAAGGAGAAATCTTAAGGAAACCAGAACCTTAACCAAGATACTGAGATTAACAGACCTACTCTTACAGACAGTTCCATGAGATCTTTAATAACCAAGATGTCAGATCAATGCTTTAATGAAGAATGGCAACTCCTACAGTACAGTGCCCCCAATGACCATACTAGAGCTTTGATTAAGTTAATTCTCATCCAAAGTGAAGAGCGCTACCTAGTTGTCCATCATCACCACTTATAGCAGCTACCTGGTTTTCCTTAGATGTCTCCAGATCTGATGGCACTATAAAACATCTATCTTCCTCTGGGAAAAAGACTGACATCATCTAAAAAGGAAGCAAAATGTTTTTACCACCTTCCTTTTGCAAGATATAACAGGTGGAGACTCCTGGCAGTGTCACAATATCAAACTCTATATTAGTATTTTAATAAAAAAAGCCAGAAGTTGACATGCTGTAAATGTTTTGTATGTTGGAAGCATTTATTCCCAAAAAATTATACTCTGCAGAATATCTTTTCTCTTTGGTCTGAACAGACAGCATAGTAGAGATCAGAGTAGTAGGAGTCAAAGGATGTCAGACATACTCCACATTCCAAAGCAAAGATTTAACAGGGGTGACCTAAGACTCCCACCTTGCCCATCTGTATGGGAATCTAGGCAGCATAAACAGTGCAGAAACTAAATTAATGCTGATGCTTTTGAAGTCTGTTTGATTGCTAATTTCGCTGAGATACAGCACACTGTATGGTTTCACTGAACCCACATACCAAGTCACTTACACTTCTATCTTCTATTTAAATTAACAAGTC